TCCTCCTGCCTCAGCCTTCCCAAGTGCTGGGATTACAGGTCTGTACCACCACGCCCAGCTTGGTTGCTGCCTTTGATTTTTTTGTTTTGTTTTGTTTTGTTTTGTTTTTGGTACTTGCTATTGAACTCAGGACCTTGCGCTTGCCAGGCTTGTGCTTGTGCTGCTGAGCTATATCCCCAGCCCTATTTATTTGGTTTTATTTCCTCCTTTTTTTTTTATTTTTTGTAAGCAGATTCTCACTATGTAGCCCAGGCTGGCCTTGAGCTTGTGGAGGTCCTCCTGCCTCAGCCTCTCCAGTGCTGGGATTCCAGGCATGTGCCACCTGGGTGTGAACACTTTTTCCAGTTGCTTATGGGACAGGAGGTTGCAGTGCTTGTGGAAGCTGCTGGAAAGCAGAGTGGCCGCGGAGACTCAGACCTGTGACTCCTCCGTAGCCCGGATGCTGGCAGCACTGCGGAGTGGACAGCGGCTGGCCCGGGTCCCCCACTTGTTCCCTCTGTGTTCCCAGACCTCTAGCTATGTGCACAACTGCAACGCAAAACCCTGTAATTCTGTGTTTTTCTTACATATATGGACGTGTAGGGCAGTTTAACTTACAAAGTAGACACAGCAAGAGGTAACAGTAAGCTGGGCGTGGCAGTGCACACTTGCAATCCCAGCATGCTGGTAGGCTGAGGCAGGAGGATCTCAAATTCCAGTCCAGCATGAAGAGAATAGTGAGACCCTGTCTCAAAATTAAAAACTTATGAAAAGGCTAGGGATGTAGCTTCGTGCAAAGGCCCTGAGGTAATCTCTAGGACTGAAAAAAAAAAAATTCACACTGATGACTACCACGGAGAGCCCTGACTGCCTCACACAGTCGTGAAAGTTGTGAGTGTGATCTCTCGATAGCTGGGCTCGGGCTGCTCCTCGGGGTCACGTAGGACGACTGGTGCCCCAGTGGGGTGAGGAGGGTGAGTGACAGGCACCGTGACGTGGCCTTGGGGTTGTTTGTGCCTGGAATTTTCCATGGGAGCTTTCCAGGCGGTGACTGTTACAGGCCACTGAAGCTGCCAGAGGCTGCGCTCGCTCGGCCGAGGGGACCCGAGTTCCGGGTTCCTCCCGGTGGCGGGAAGGCGGCAGGCAGCCTGTGGCACCTTCTCCATGGGGCCGGCCATGGCTAAGCACCGAGCAGTGACCACGGGAAGGAGTGAGGACAGCGTGGTGAGGTGCTGCAGAGGTCAGTGACCGCTGCGTGCCCTGGGGTCGGGCCGCCCTGGGCTGCGACTTTCTGTGTGACCGGCCCGAGGGGCCATCGCCGTCCCCTGCCTCAGCCGCGACGTCCCAGGCTCGTGGCAGCCCCGGGGGTGGTGGACGCTGAGCCGTGCATTCGCCGGGGGCCGGTTCTGCCGCTGTCCTCGGAGGGCGTGGGCACTTGGTCAGCACAGCCCACCGGGACACGGGAAGGGCGACCACACACGTGCCGGGGCCGGGCCGGGTGTGCGCAGATCCCAGCTCTCACCTGGGACGGCTGGCCAGGTCCTGGGCCTCCGACGGCTCTCGGGACTCCAGCTTGCTGGCGGGGCTCCTTCTGGGCTCCACGCAGAGTGGAGGGCGACGTGGACCTTCCCCGGCCCTCTCACCTGCCAGGACCCGGGCACGTGCATCCATGTGCCCGCTCCCCAAGGTGCCGGGCCTGGGCCGCCAGGCCTGCGTGCCCCACGCGCCTGTGAGCCCCTCCCCGCCGAGCCGCCACCGCCCTGCCTGCCTCAACGAAGCGAAGAGCAGCGGAGCGGCGGGAGTGCCGTGGCTCATCCTTGTGGTGAGGTCGGGGTGGCCGATCTTCTCCGTCTCTCTGTGGCGCCCTCCTTGCTGGCGGCCCAGGCCTGCTGCATGGCTGTGGTTTCATCGATGTCGGGGTGGGGGGTGTCGTCCTCGGCCTGCAGGCTCGCTGGTCACTGGCGAGGAGATCTCCCGACACCCCAGAGACCAGGAGGGTGGCGCTCCTGGAGCTGGGCAGGTGGGCTCAGCGCCATCGCCCTGGGCTGTGGGGCCTTGAGGAGCTGGAACCCCGAGAGCGCCCCGCCCGCCTGCCCGCCCACCTGCCGCCCCGCCTGGGCCTGTGCCCTGGGCAGCGTGGCCTGCAGCGCAGTTGGGGTCTCTGTGTCGGGCCCTCGCTGACGCGCCCTGGGCCTCATCTTGGTCTTCAGTTGGTGTAGACAGTATGAGAAGTGAGTTCCGGGAGAGGGCGGCCAGGTCCCCGCTTGCCCCAACCCCAGCTCGAGTAGAAGTGCAGCGCGGGTCCCCTGGGCCAGGCGGTCCCCAGAGCTAGTGGCAAGTGTGGGCAGAGGTCACGTGGAGCCCGTGGTGCTGAGCCCCGGGGATGGCGCTGTCCACCCCACCTGCCAGGCACGGGGCTGCGGGGGGCTGCGCACCTGCTACAGTTTCCTCCCGTTGCCCCAAGCTTGGCTTTTACAGAATTCTTGATCGAGGGATTTATTTTGGCCGTGTGTGCGGTTCGCACGACTGCAGGTGTCAGCACTGCGGCCCCTTAAAGGTCCTCTGGGGCCACCCCCACCCTCCTAGTGGGGCGTAGGCCTTGATGTGAATTTCTGGTGGGGCAGCGGTGCTCAGGCCACGGCTGGGGTTGCAGTGTGGCCTCGGTGTCCGGATGGTGGCTGTGTGGTCCCATCAGGGGCACTGCCCAGAGACCGGGCCGGGTCTGCCCGGGCCTGCTCAGGTGCTGGTGCAGGAAACATTTCTTGATATGTGGAACCCTTTTGTCTTAGCTTTCTTGTCCCGGAGACATAGTCCCAGCACCCACAGCTTGGAGGAGGGGAGGTTTACGTGGCTCACGTTTTTGGGCCGTTCAGTCCACGGTCAGCAGGCTCCCGGGCAGGAACGTCAGGGCAGAGGGTGAGGAGGAGCAAAGCTGCTCCGTTCATGGCGGCCAGGAAGTGGCACAGGGGCGGTGTTGGAGAGGAAGTGGCCAGGACCAGATGCAGACCCAGCCACACCTCCCTGACCCACTGAGGCGCACCTGGAGGTGAGCTCCACCCTCCCTGAGGCAGATCCAGCCGGTCAGGTGGACCCGCGGCCCTGACCGCCTGGTCTTGCTAAGCTGAGAGCCCCCGTGTGGGCCTGGGTTGTGTGACAGCTGCGTCTGGGTGTGCGGGTCCCCCGGCTCGCGGGGACAGTAGCTAAGGGCTGGAAGCAGCTTCCTGGCGGCCGTTCTGAGAGCGAGCGGTGGAGGCCCGATGCTGAGCGAGGCCACGTTGCTCCTGATTTCCAGAGCTGGTGCCCGCGCTCGCGGGAATGGCTGAGCCCTCCAAATCGCTCACTGTACGGAGGGGGCAGCGATGTTTGCGGCTCCCGCCGGGCACGGTGGGGCTCCCCGCCCTCATTTATCCACCCATGCGTCCATCCTGCAGGTGGGGGGTGACTCGCTTAGCGCCCACTCTCGAGAAGATGTGGTCACTTTGGGAAATGGACTTTGGGGTGCTCTGGACCCAGAGACGGGGGCAGGACAGGGTGGCCGGGCGGCCCTGCTGGTGTGCTGTGTCCCCTTTCCTGATCATTCCTTTAAGATTCTTTTGTTGTTTGGTTTTGGTTTTGGATTTTTGAAACAGTTTCGCTGTCTTCAGGATGGCCTTGAACTCACTCTGGAGGCTGAATTGGCCTGGACCACACAGGAGTCCCCCTGCCTCAGCCTCGCACGAGCTGGGGTTACAGGCGTGCCCCACCACGCCCGGCTTCCCGAGGGTTCTTTCCTGGTCCACAGTCACGCACCTGCCAGCTTCTAGATGGCTCTGCATGCGGGGGCCTCAGGAAGGAGGAGCCGGATGCCGTTTCCCCGAGCTCGCTTTCGCGGCATTTCTGTTCTGTCCTTGTTTCACGTCTCTTGATGCAGGCATGCTGGTCACACAGACGAGTGGTCTCCTCTGCCAGATGCGAGCGCGGGCGTCACACTGTGGCTGCCCCACCCTGCCCTCCCTCGGCCCCGCCCCGCCCTCTGTTCCCGGGGAGGCTTTCAGCGCGAGCCCTCGGTTCCCTTCCGTGCGCCGAGCTGTCTGCGTTTGCTGCTTTGCTAGGCAAGGAGAGAAGCGGCCGGGAGCTGGTCCCGGGAGGCCGGAGGGCTTGGGGTTGCAGCTCCCTGGGCAGGGAGTCGGGGCAGGTGTGGGGGCAGCGGGGCTCGCCCGGCCCGGGTTTGGGGGTGCTGCGGTCCTCTGGGGCCAGGCAGAGCTCCACGTGCGACAGGAGTGGCCACAGCCTCCCTGGGACAGCCCCGTGGGGCGGCCTGGTGCTGTCCTCCCGCGGAAGGGCGAGGAGCAAGGACCGGCAGATGCTCCCAGACCTTGGTGGACAACCGAGAGTGTGCGTGATTCCAGCTGGGGAGGCCCCGGGACCTCGCCGCGCCTTGGAAGCTGGCTGCGAGCTTTGCTCTGTGACGCGGGGACGGCCATTCTGTCGATCCCGTGTGACCTCTGGCATTTATTTTCCGCCCCACCCTTCACCCTTGGTGGGGGCGTCGGGTGTAAGTCAGGGGTACATGAAACTCTGGGGCTGCCGTGGGCCAAGGTGAGCAGGGTACAGTCGGAAGTGCAGAGGCTGATGTGTCCCCTGCGGCCCCCAGGCACAGGCAGGAGGGTCCCTGCCACCCATTTCTGACCTGACCTGACCTCCAGCCCCGGGCTGCTGGTTCTGGAGCCAGGAGTTACCACTTGTAACGTGGCTTCACTGGGGTCGGTGGCTTCCGTGCCCCGAGCGAAGCCTGTCACGGTGACAGGTGTCCCTGTCCTGCTGCTGCCTCGCCAGCCCTGTCCTGCCAGGGGTCATGGAGTTGTGTTCCCGGGTGGCCTGGAGCCCCCAGCTGGTGAGAGGGACCGGTGGTGGCAGTGCTCGGTTTACCGCGGGTGGCGGATCGCTGTGGCACAGCCGTCTGCGGTCCTTTTCGGGTGACGAGGGCCACGCGGATGGGTGCAGACGGAAGCTCCAGACGACCCCTGTCTTGTGCTTTGCAGACGCCGGCTAGTTCCGCACCGCCAGCTCCCGTCTGCCGTGAGAGGCCTGCGCGGTGAGTGTCCCCAGGTCCCGCGTCCCCGTGTCCCTGGCCGTGGGTGGATCTCCAGGGAGGAGGCTTGGGCCTGGTGTGGTAGTGATCTCACGGTGCTGGGCTCGGAGCTCAGGGCCACGTGGGTGGGGGGCGAGGGCTCTGCCCCACGCCGTTGCCATTCCAACACCAGTAAGGAAGGACCCCAGGTTCAGCGTCCGTCCTGGATGTGAGCTCTGGCGTCAGAGGCCGGGGTGACGCCTGCGATAGTCTTCCCGGGTACCCGGGTTCTGAGGGTGCAGGTCCCAGCGTCCATGAAGGTCACTGGAAGGTTTCGGGGAGTCGCGTGCTGGGGTGTGGTGACCAAGGGAAGCACACTGTTTTTAAAAGTCCAAGCTTTAAACAGTGGTGATTTTTAGAAATAACCGTGACCTTTGTACATTCCAATCTGATGAATAAGGTAGAGAGAACAGCAAAACACTCGGGGAAGTGTGGGTCCTCATCTGAGCACCTCAGCTGCGGAGCCCGTTTGCGACATTGCGGCCTCTGTCCCCACAAAGGCCACGGCTTTCAGAAGCTGCCAGCGTGGGGTTCGCGCGGACGAGGGTCTGTGATTGCTTCCGAGCAGCCGAAGCCATGGAGGCGTCAGCTGGGAGTGTTGGCTGCGTGATGGATGCGTGACCGTTCGCTGACCAATTTCTTACGCTTTTGAATTTTTTGAAAAGAAGAGGGAGGGAGAGTCCATAGGGGACAGGCTGCTCCACTGACGGCACCTGTTTGTAGCCAGCAGCTGTGGGGACCCATGGATCCCCCGTGAGGGTTTTGGACCGGTGCTCTCCTGGGACTAGAGGATGGTGAGGCAGATGTGCCATGGTCAGCCACCAGGGCGCTGTCTCTTGGGTCCTCATGTGGTGGTGGATGACCACGGTCTCCTCTCCCTTTTCCCCTTGGCTGACGGGCCCCTCTTCTCCATAGGCCCGCAGCCCTGAGCCCCGCCATGGCCGACGGCCACCAGCTGGACCTCACCTACATCACGGAGCGCATCATCGCCATGTGCTTCCCGGCCGGCTGCTCCGAGGAGTCCTACCTGCACAGCCTGCAGGAGGTCACGCGCATGCTCAAGTCCAAGCATGGGGACAACTACCTGGTGAGTGGCGGACGCTACCACGGGTCCCTCGCTGCCCCGAACAGCTGGGGACTTAGCACGGGGCCTCCCTGGCCTGCCTGGAGACAGGAGGGGCTCCCAGGGACACGAGGTGGCTCCTTTGCAACACCAGGGACTGCAGGGCAGGACTGCGCTGTCTGCTTTCTGCCCGGCCTGGTCTCTGTCCCGAGCGCCCCCCCACCCCTCCATGGAGCCTCACTTCCTTTTGCTGCTCTTGGTCGCTGTGGATCCCTCACACCTCGCGCTCCTCCCTTATCTTGGGAGCAGCAGGGAGGCTGTTGTCACCTTGTCACCTTCTGCACCCCACACCTGGGCTGAGGGGACATGTGCACTGCGTGCAGGGAGCCTGGTCCGGGTCTCAGAGCTTCGGCACGGTGTCCACCCTCAGGCTGTACCGCTTCTGCCCCGCCTCCCTCCCTGGCCGTGACCCGCGGTGGACAGGAAGGGGCGGCGCAGCCTCCTGAGCTTGCGTGGAGGGGCTGTGTCTGTCACTTTCCCGTCCTCGTGACACAACAGCCAACGCTGCACCTTCAGGGAGGAGAGACTCCTTTTGGCTTACGGTTTCGCAGAATTCAGTCCATGGTCTGTTGGCTCCAAGGCAGAGGGGCCTCGAAGAGGGAAAGGTGCTCGCCCCATGGCAGGAGGAAGCAGGGAGAGAAGGGAGGAGCAAGGGGCAGGAGTCCACCTTCCCGGTCACACCTCAGGGGCAGCTCCAGCCAGGCCCCCTGACAGCACACTCGGCCGAGAATCCACTGATGAGCGTCCCCAGGAGTAACTTCCACACGCAGACACTTCTGGGGGACGCTAGATCCAAGCCGGCAGGAGGGGCACCTACGTCCCTGGTGATGCCAGCAGCTGACACTGAGCAGGCCCGGGAGGCAGCAGGGCTGGAGCTGAAGCTGAGCCGGGGGCCTCAGGCGGAAGCCGCAGTGACCTGCCCGAGCGCTGCCCGTGCAGCCCCGTCTCTGCGGGCGCATGGTCTTTTTACTGTTACCACTTTACTGAGTTCAGCAAGAGCCGGTCGCAGCTCTGGTTCTCCAGGGAACTTGGGGAGGCTCACGCCGGGTCGTGAGTTCTGTCTCTCCGGCTTGGGTTGCCGCGTACACGGGGTGGTTGAGAATCGTGGTGTTTACTTTGAAGTTCACGGCAGCGAAAGACGTCTTGTCATGAACCTCCTCAGAACAGCGTTGCTGCGAACACACTCGTCCCATCGTCCTTGCCGCTTCCTGGAGCAGCTCTGCAGTCTGCTTTCCTGAGGGTCTGTTCGAGGTGTGCGGAGGGTGCAGTGGATGCCGCTGCCGAGCGCCACCCCGCAGAGAGGCGGCTCGGAAAAGCTCGGCGCTGCGTCCTCCTCCACCGCATGTGCCGGAGCGGGCGCCCAGTGGCTGTGTCAAAACGACCATGACGGGGAGACGTTTTGAATCAGTTCAGGACATCGAGGCAGCCAGACCGCACACACAGAGATGCTCAGGGAAGAGGGCTCCAGAAAGCGGCAAGGGCGAAGGGACGGATTCTGAGGGGGCTTTGCAGCAGTGCATCTTTTACTGTAGTGAGTTTGTTTGTTTTTCTGAGATCTATGCAGTTCGGACTGGCCTTGAACTCACTATGCAGCCCAGGCTGGCTTTGAGCTCACGGTGATCCTCCTGCCTCAGCCTCCTGAGCCTCTGGGATTACAAATATGCACCGCCTCGCTGATATTGTCCCATTACATCCCTATGAAGAGGAGAGGCTGCCCCGACCAGAGTTCGCCTCCTACCTCCTGAGCAGGACCGGGAGAGCCAGGCGGTGTGTGTGTAGCCCTGTAGAGCTGCCGGTGTCCTCGTGTTGGGATCGTTTGTAGCCAGTAGAGTAAAAGAAGCAGTAACATGGTGAATCGCTCGCTTTAGCCCTAGTTTACAAGAGTAGAATTAGCACGTAGGTGGGATTTACGAGGATTCGGGTGGCATCTTCACCTTGGTTTGCATTCCGTGAGAAGGTACACGTCTGTACACGTCTGCACACGTCGATCAAAAGCAGTTATGTCTTTTTCATCTCAAGTTGATATTCGTCTGAAAGCCGCTCTTCTTTGTAGGTATTAAACCTTTCGGAGAAGAGGTTTGACCTGGCGAAGCTTAACCCGAAGGTATGGACTTCATTCCTTTTATTCTGAGTTTTGTAAAATGTAAGCAGTGTTTGTTCTGCTCGTTCAAAAGTGGTTTGTTGCAGATTTAGGGGAGTGTTACTTGACATGGGCATCAGGAACTGGGTATGAGGTTGTGAGTGTGAGTGTGTGTGTGAGTGTGTGTGTGTGTGTGTCTCTGTGTGCGTGAGATGCTGGGGTCAAACCTGTCAGCCTCCCAGAGTGCTGGGATTACAGGTGTGCACCAGCACATCCAGCTGGGAGTTTTAAAAGATGAATAAACTTTTTAGTTTGAAATCGTTACAGTTCCATAAGAAGCGGCAGTGATTGTAGAGAGGTCTCGGGTACCGCTAACCTGGTTTCCTCTAGTAGCGGCATCTTGAAAACAAAGGCGGGCTGGACACCCTTAGTCAGAAAACCTGAAGTTCAGCTGCTTCACACACCGAGAAACTTTGCTTCCCTGAGATATTCTACAGTCTGGAAAACCCAAGACCCCACCTGCATCGGGCTGCAGCATCTAGGGAGGGGATTTAACCCGTAGTGTAGTACAGCGTCAACACGTGGAAGGTGACCCCCCCCCACGGACCTCGTGTCCCTGTCACTCACTTGAGACTCACTTGCTCTGTGTGTGCGCGCGTGTGCACACGACCTTCTCCACCACTTTCTCACGTGGACAGGTGTGCGTAACAACCACAGCCCCGTGGAGAACCCTCCGGGTCTCTCTCCTGCACACAACTTTCTGCTGCCTCTGTAGAGTCACAATGTCCCCTCTGTAATTACTTTCAGTAGAAAGATTGAGAGAAAATTTCCAAACTGTGTAAGTATAAATTGTAGTACACACACACACACACACACACACACACACACACCATATTATGTATGTGGAGACGTAGTACATATGTTGCAGTATTTTATACATTGGAACATTATATACCTTGGAACATTTTGCAGCCATTGGAATAAAATACAGCTGAAGCATGCACAGTCCCAAAGCCGCAAGTCCACAGTCCTCTGAAATCCGAATTTCTGGAGCACTGACACGATGCTCAGAGAGTTCTAGATTTTGGCGCATTTCCAATTTAAGAATTTTTGTTTGTTTTTGTTTTTTTGAGACAGGATCTCGGTATGTAGTCCAGGCTGACCTTGAACTTGTGGCAATCCTCCTGCCTCAGCTTCCTGAGGGACTGGGATTCGAGGCATGTGCCACCATGCCCGGCTGTTTTTCTTTTCAATTTCAGGGGTTTGGGGATTAGGGATGCTAAACAAGGAGAGTTTATGCGAGTACTCCCAAATTCCCAAACCCAGAAATCTGAAACAGTGTTGGTTCCAAGCTTTAAAAATCCACCCCCGGGAAGGGGCCTGGCGCCATGGCGTCGTTACATCAGTAAAGGAGAGAAGCCGGCACGCACCAGCTCTGAGGGCTTCAGGAGAGGGGAACTGAGGCAGGGCTGTCTCTCTTTGCAGATCATGGATGTGGGTTGGCCAGAGCTGCACGCGCCGCCCCTCGACAAGATGTGTACGATATGCAAGGCGCAGGAGTCCTGGCTGAACAGCGACCCACAGCACGTGGTCGTCATCCACTGCAGGGTGAGCCCCACACCCCGCGCCCTGCAGCCCGTCCCAAGGATGGTTTGAGGGCCTGGAGGCCCCTGGGGCTGGGTTGTGGATAGGTTTTCCTGCTTGTCCTAATGAAACCACCAAGAAAGGATTATTCTGCTGGGCTCTGCGCGTAGTCGCAGACCACAGGCAGTCCTCCCGGGTCATTGCCGAGCGATGCTCTGCGCCTCTGCGAGGCTTTTCGCTCTGTCCATTCATGCTGGCCCCGGGGGATTTCACGCTCGCCTGCTCAGATGTGTGCGTCCGTTTCTTTCAGTATGTGCCTCGCAGTCAGATTGCTGGGTCATTCGTGGCTTTCTTTTTTTAAAAAGCATAATTTTAAGCCGTAGCGGTCAGTCCCTGTGTAAAGGTTGGTGTACGGATTTCTTCAGTCTGTTTTACGCGTTTATTAGTACAGATCTGCAGTACACTAACTGCAGTCATCTTGGAAGCGGTGCGTACAATCCTGCACCTCAATCCCTCTGCTTCCCTGCTGTCCCTTCCGTGCCCTCTGACCCCAGGTGCCTTCCCTTCCCCGAGGTCTGCTGCCCTGTTTCCTAGATGTGTCTGTTATTTTGCTCTGTAGTTACTGATGCTTGGGGCTTCTCATGTAAGAGAAACGATGCAATAGTTAACCTTCTGTGTCTGATTTGTTTCATTAAGCATTGTGGTCTCAAGGGGCGTCCATTTTCCTGCAGCTGACTCAAATCGTCCTTCTTGAGGGCTGAGTAGTACTCCATAGTGTATCACAATACCTAGTAATTCCGTTCATCTTGGGGACTTGGTATGTGCACCTGTCATATCTTGGTCATCTTTAATCCCCCCTCTCCCCTCAGTTTCTCCCCTTCAGTTTTTGTTTATTTATTTATTTTTGTTTGTTTGTTTTTTGTCTTTTTGAGATGGGGTTTCACTATGCAGTGCAGGCTGGCCTGGAACTCACTTTGTAGCCCAGGCTGGCTTTGAATGCACAGTGATCCTCCTGCCTCAGCCTCCCTAGTGCTGTGAGTACAGGTGTGTGCCACCAGGCCCAGCCCCCTCCAGATTTTAAATGGTGAGTTTTAATACTGTTCGAAGCAGGTGGGGGCCCAGGGAAGACATTGCCGCCCAGAGATCTCTGCAGTGTCTGTTCCCTAAGCCTCTCTGGGCGCTGTGCCCGTGGACTTCCTCAGGACCACACAAAGACGTAGACCCGCACAATGACCACCCTGGGCTGGGTATGTAGAACACCACACTCAGGAACCTGGCTGTGAGCCAGGCCCTGTCCCTGGCATTGCTGAGGAGGACGATGGGGTGGAATCACTGACCCGGCCGGAATCCGCTGGCTCTGCAGGATGCCCAGGTCCCCGCACATGCCAGGGCTCCCCCGCAGGGCTGGGCTTGGTCGGCTGCTGCGCCCTCCCCTCCTGTCTGACTGACCTTGCGGGGTGGCTCGGCCTCCCTCCCGCAGCCTTGCTTTCTGAGAGCTCACCCCTATTGCCCCTCCGTCCGGGAGTCCTGGTGACCAACACACGCAGAGCGTTTGAGGGCTCAGCGGTTCTGTGGCTTTGCTGAGCTCAGACCAGAACCGTCCAAGCCCTAAAGATGCTGCCTGCGGGGAAAGAGCATAGACAGGAGCCGACCTCCTTCGCCCCGAGCCCCTCAAGCTGAGAGCGACGGGTTGTTGTCGGTGAAAAATTGTCTTTTGTTTTTTGAGGCAGAGTCTTGCTATGTAGTCCAGGCTGGCCTTGAACTCAGGTGATCCTCCTGCCTCAGCCTCCCGAGTGCTGGGATGACAGGCGTGGCCCCCTGGCTTTTATGAAGTTTAGTTCACACAAGAGTCGGACTGGAATTCGGCCATGCGTTCTTTGCTCACACTGCGCAGGATGAGGGCTCCCAGCAAGGGCCCGAGGGCTGCACCCTGAAAATCTTGCCCTCTGGCTCTTCCAGGGAGAAATATGTGTGTGTGTGTGTTGGGGGCAGGGCATGTAAAGAGCATCAAGATGTCCTGTACGTTTGCCCGCCCCCACACCGACGTGGTCTCCTGTCCTGCAAACACGGACTAATAGAAAAATTAGGGGCCAAGAAAGAAAAATCACTGCATCGGCCTAAGGCTGGCCCTGTAACAGGAGCCTTGAAGTTTTCCCTCTTCTTCCGTTTTTGTTTGAATTGTTTGAATTGATCCCTGAAGCCATCTGGTCTTTTCTTCATCGGGAGACTTTTTATTATTCGGTCAGTCTCCCCCTCTGTTCTCGGTGACGCCTGGGCAGCGTGTGTGTGTGTGTGTGTGTGTGTGTGTGTGTGTGTGTGTGTGTACAGGAACTATTTCTGCTGGAGTCTGGCTGTCTGTAGCTGTCTCTGGTGACCCTTCGTGTTACT